ATAGTTGCAGTTACCAGAATACTGGCAGGGATTGCAGGGATGGAGAGAACACGTCGTGTGCTCACTCGGCGGTGATTGTGCCTCACACGACATGAGGCAGACAAAGATCTCGCTGTAGAATCCTCAAAACTCTCGAGTTGTACATGCTGCACAACAACTTGCCGTGCAGAATGCTATCCAGCGTCAATTCCAACTGAGATTCGGTGGATTGCGCGCGGCTGCAAGAGAGCGCCAGCGCCCAGCAATATTGAAGAGGGACGCAGGTGGTGACATTTCTGAAAAAATGGGCTTGGCATTCTATTCATTTATGAGCCGAGCGGCATCCGAAGGTCGGATGGGCAGCAATCCATTAAATATTATTTTTTTGATTTTTATTAGATGCCCGCGCAGTTCTTTGTATCCATCCCGCTCTCCTCTCCTCCTCCCTCTCTTTCCTACTCCTCTCTTTTCCAACTCGAACGGATTATTTGGAAATACTCCGAACGAGTGTTTGTGACTGCCGAATTAGCCTATAGGAGTGGTCGCGTCAGCAGTTGGCCGGAGGACGGACGTATTACCTTTTTCGCAACCCAGACGTGACACACAAACTTTGCGACGGTCTGGCGACGGGGCACGGGCAGCTATGAGTGGTGGATATTATCAGCTATCAAGAACGAACAGTGAAGATGGAGACAAATTCGAAGGTTTAGACGAGCGAGGGTCGGCCTTGGTGACGTCCGCACGACCCCTCTGGTTTCGCATACGCGACGCGGTGTCGCCTATCAAGTATTCCTACAAGTCCATATTATCGCTCCGAAGACTATCAAGAGATTCCGACGCGGCTTCTTCACCAATACTACGAGTCGGCGGTCACGGTTCGACAACAAGACGACATCCCAAAAACAGGCTCGTACTCGTCTGCTCCATCGTCGCCGGCCTCATCATCAGCTTTGCAATCTATGGAGCACACCGAGACGAGATTGATTCATTTTATTACGAACAGTTCAAGATGGCGACACCTGGCGCTGCCTGTCTCGCAGACCAATCCTCGCCGGAGAGCTATGTATTCTGGAGCCCTTCTTCCTGGAAAAACCGAGCCATCTATCATTGCATCTCTCAAAAGGCGGCACCCCCTTCACAGGGTCCCTTTTCTTCTGCCCGAGGCCCGGTTGGGTCGACGTTACGGCCCTATAGACCACTACCCAGCGGGTGCTTGGACGACTATTACACGAATGGAACAGTGTGCTCGGACTGGCAGCGCACGACTTTTGATATCATCTGGACGTGGGTCAACGGGTCGGACGCGATGATCACACGAGCGCGCCGAAAAGCGCTCAAGGCCCTCGCCCATGAACAAGCTGTGGATTCATTAGGAGAGGAGGACGAGGGTACTGATGATGACGGTGATGATGCTCAAGAAGAAGAGGCCAATGCCCACCTCTATCGGTAAGCATTCCCAGTCGCTGTTTTTTTTTCCTCCTACTTCTCGCCCATATGCGAGCTGTGCTGGTTTGCTGCGGAACTTGTGGGGCCCTGCGTACGTCTCGCATTCAATTTTTCAGAGACGAGAAGGGCAGGCCCAGGCGACAATCATATTGTCCCCATTCAATTTTCATATTTTTTCAATCATGCCTGGTGGCGATGTTTTTCCTCCCACCCAACCATCATGCAGGTCCGCCGTTGTGGGTTTCGCTCTTGTTTCTCTTGGAAACCGCAGCGCCCTAAACTAGTCGTTTCTCTAACTTGTTCGGCTGGGTCGTGTGCGCGTTTACCGGGTCTGCGGGGCTTGGCAAGAGGAGAGAAGGCATGCCGAGACAAGCCGAAGACTACGGAGGCCTGGCCACTCGACCTCTAACCCACTTATTAACCCAAAAAATTCAATGCAGGATTTGGTTTATTGACTTGGCTTTTTTTCTTTGTGATAGGGATCATGATGAATTGAAACACTCGCTGCGCTCGGTGCTTCAAAATTTCCGCGAGTCGACGAGAAAGTTTATCATTTTGACGTCTGATTTCGAGTTCCCCGTTTCCTATTCGCCATTGAAATATCTTCTTGGATTGGACAAGCGTTCGACAGTGCCTCAACAAGACGTGCCCGCCAAACAGCGACGACGAAAACGATCGTTCGACAGTGCTGAACAGCCGAATGAAGAGATGGAAGAGGATCTGGAAGAAGATGAGGAGCCGTTTGGATTTGCTCGGCTTGGATTGTTGCCTCAGTGGCTCCGCTTTGATGATACCTCGCGGGACCATAGGGAAGGTGCCCAGGCTCCAGGGCAATGGAGAGATGGCGACGTACAACTCGAGGTCGTACACCATGCCGAAGTGTACGACGAGTATGACGATACCGTGTTTAACAGCAACTCGATCGAATCTCAACTCGGCAACTTGGGTGGAAACAATGCCTTGTGAGTACTTGCGACTCTTCAGCGACTCGATGCTGATAATTTATAGCATCTACTTTAATGATGACTGCTTCTTTGCGGCCCCCCTGTCGTCTGCCGACTTTCACACAAGCCACTTTGGCCTCGTCTTTCGGTTGATTGCGTACCCGTTCAACCTCGTTAATCCTTTCCACTACCCCGGTGGCTCACCTACGGGTGAATGGAGGCCCATGGAGTTTACCAACTGGCTCATCTCGGAACGATTTGGTTATCGGAGACGGCCGTATACGATGCACCAGGTCAAGGTGTTGCAGGGCGGTTTGATGCGCGAGATGTGGGAGACTTGGAGGGAGCAAGAAGCTATCAACCGCGACCACAAATTTAGAGGGTTGGGGGGACTCAATGAGGTGTTGCCGGATGAGGAAAAGGATAACGATGTTGACCCGTTGCATTACCCACCCAAGCCCCAACCGTCTGAAGAGGAGGATGATGATGTTGTTGGGACGACTGAGCAGCTGAAGAGGATGATCAAGAGGCATTCCGAAGAGCGTGAAGAGCCGGTGGCGAATACCACCGTACCCTCTGAAGAGCAGCAAACTCGTCGCAAGCAAGGAGGCATCGTAGATGAAGACGAGCAAGATACCGGTCCTGGTCCAATGATCAATAACAAAGGGCTAGTCGACGATGGAGATGCGCACGTCATGTTCCTCTTTACCCACTTTGTCATTGAGCGGTCACGAGAGGCCATGTTGTGGTCGTGGATCGTTGCCACCCTCGGAGGGGACCGTGACGAGTTTGGAATCAACCAGCGGAATCAGGCGTGGAAGACGCTCGTGGAGGATTCCCATTCAGAGTTGCGGAACCGCGGTGTGATTGAGGTGTTGGTCGAGAGGCGCAAGACGATGGAGCCGTGGCGCGTCCAGTGGGCTTTGGATCAACAGGGTGATACTCTCAAGGCGTCGCAATACCTCTTTTGTGAGTTTGCTTTTTTTATGGTTTATGGTGGTGCCTGACGGGGGGGGTGTAGCGAGTCAGGATGGATACGCGTATTCGTACTATGACCAGAAAAAGGGTCTCGAGTGGTGGCACGGTGGTTCGACGTACTGGCCTACCTTGTACAATGGTGACCACTTTTATCCTGAGCCAAAGGACCGACGGGAGTGGACCAAGTGCACCATCGACTGGAATGTCTGCTTTGGCTCGGAAATGTCGAGTGCGAGCGAGATCTTTAAGCGGGTTGCCTTTGAAAAGACCGAGTGTGGAGATTGCAGTACGTTTCTTCTTTTTTAAGTGTTTCATATATTCAATTGTTGGTAGTCCTTAAAGCACTTGTCAAGGCTAGTGGTGACCTTGGTCTCTCGGCTCTCCTTCCTCCAGCAGACCGAGTATACCGAACAGAACCCGAGAATTTAGAGTCTCAGACTCCTCCGAGCCCCATCCCGGTTGGAGAAGAGGATGTTCCACCTCATCTACCCCTCACTTCTCACTGGAAGACAGCCAACTTTTCGCTTCCCGCAGTATTTGCCTCTGGATACTGGGATAAAGATGGAACTGGTGTCAGTCTTCGAGAGTGGGTACAACGGGCGCTCGAACGCTACCGCTATGTTATTGGTGAGCAAAGTGACACACATTTTCTTTCTATTCCTAATTTGATGTTCGCAGCCGATACGGGA